CATCTTCATATTTTCATTATTTATAAAATTGTGTATTCTTTGCAATTCTATGCCTCGTAATCAAAAGAAAAGTACATGTACTTAATGTATAAATAGTATAACAAAGTAAAAGTCATACATAATAATATTAAACATTTTATTTAAATATGCTTTCTCAAAAGTAATCAATATATCTTTAGAAAGTATGCAAATAATTTTATTTGCAATGTTTTTGAAGAGTCTAAAGTTATAACTTGATTAACTAGTTTTCTATATTTTACATAAATCAATATATAAATAATATATTATTTTTTAAATATAACTGAATTATATATGAAACTTTTAAAAATAATTTTTAATTATTTATTTAACTTAACGTTGTATTTACACTACGCGATATTCTTTGAAAATTACCGTAATTTCTTTTATTGTGTTCATATTCCTCTAGAAAATTATCTTCGTAAGTGATATTCTGTGTCACTTCAATTTCTAATTTATTGTCCATAAAATAAGGTTCACTTCGAGTTCGAAACAACGAAAATGATAATCGTTTGTCACTAAATAATGAGAAACAATCATTTTCCGATAAACTGAGACAATGTGATATTATGGGTAGTCGATCCTTTATATTTTTATTGTTATAATCATTAGTTTTGATTGTTTTACGAGTAAATTCATGTTGAGAATCTTTTAATTTTTTGTTCAAACAAATATCTCCGCAAGAATAAAAACTCACAGTATGATTAATATCATCAGAGTATGAACTTGAATTAGTTTTTAATATCATGTGCAAATTATCATTTAAAGTAAAAGATTTTAACATTTTTTTATCTAAACTTACTTGAGCATCTATTACTTCCCAGCAACGTTGCATGAGATCTGGTTCTTCGAATAACCGAGACTGGCTTAAAAGTAAACATGCATTCTTCGCTGTTAAACTTGTTTCTAAGTAATTAACACATGCCCTGGCTAAGTGAGGGACCATGTACTTTTTAGCAACATAAAGTGTTGCCAATACTGTATCAGCTTCTAATTGCACTTCATCGCAATACATATACCTGTTAAAAAAATATCAAACAAATGTTGTGTAATTGAAGTTAATAAATACATAAAAATAAAGCATATTTACCTTAATAGTGCAAGAAAGGCAGCTGGTTCTACATCTGGTACTTCTATATCTCTTTTATTTTCTGCTAATCCGCCATAAAACATAGCATAAAATACAGAACTACCAGTAGCTAAAACATACTTGTGTGCTGGAATTGTCTGTGTTTGACCTATTAGTAATACAGAATGTTATTCAACTTTAAGTAATGAAAATACACTAAAACGGAGAATTATAATGAATTACCTGGACTGCCAACAATAAATATAATATCAGCCATTAGATGATTATTAAACATGGCAGCATTCCGTTCACGTACAGTGGGTTTTGTTGCTTGCCAATTAGGATCTTGTGTACAATCTTCGGGTGATGATAAATTTAATTGAGTTATGGGGGATGATAAGGAAGACAAAGGCGAAGCAGGTGCGCTAAGTGGCTGGTTTATTGAGGTTCCCTCACGTTGAAGTACAATGGAAGAAGAAAGTGGGCTTACTGTTGGTGGTGAATCTGGTTCAGTAAGTGGTACAAAACCCTCTACAACATATAATATCAACCATTGTATTGTCACCTTTTTTAAATTATTGCCTTCAAATAACTCAAATTATCAAAAATTCTTTGAAAATTTACGATAAATAAATAGCCACACTTATTGTATCTAAAAAAATTTTGGATATTCTTTTATTTAACACTCAAATGTTTGGATAAGGTCTAAGGGGCCTCAATCTTCTGTTTATATTTAAATTAATAAATATTACATATACTTGCATAAAACTACTATTAATAAAATAAGATTTATTGGTCCAATAAATCTTAAACTGCTAAAGAATTGCAAGAAAGTTACATGGTAATAAAAAAATAATAATCTTCTGCATAGATCCTATGAATTCAACCTGTGTATTGGAAGGTTAAAAATAATCAAAACTTCTTTGTAAACAAGAAAAAAGAAATCTTTTTAACGTCATTTTACTATAAAATATATTTATTTCTAATATTACCTACAGATTATATTAAAGTGAAAACATTATAAACAGTTCATAACTAACATTCATAACTACGCGCCTGAAAGATATAATTGATATAAAGAAATAAGATTCATATAATAAAAAGATGTAACATAAATGAAACATATGTATGCAGTATAACAATAATTGTAAGAATAAGCTGCTGTATATTGATTGTTGATAGTTATAAATTTAAACTTTATACAATTCTTTATACAAATTTTTATACAATTTGCATTAATTTTATTTTTCTCGAAATAAACTATTGACTACAGAAAATTACTATCGCACCTATACAATTAAGAAAAGTAGCATTTCCTTCTCTTACCAATAAAGAGGTTATACAAGTCAATAATATCTTATTACATATTACTAATCTTAATAAGCGTTCAAAGTATTTAATAGAACTTTTTCTTTCTAAAATCACTACAATTTTTTATTTATGTATATTTCATTTCATTTGTCGTCGCTTTAAAGCGATGTAAGGATATATCGTTTTAATATTCAACGATATTTCCAACAATATGAACGCACACCATCAAATTATTAAGAGTTTTACCGTTAGTGTACATTATTACAAAGATCGGTATCACCGAAGTTTTGGAGGCCCCCTCTTATTTTCAATTCTTACGACCACAAATTAAACGTGTACGCGTATATATGCGCATTTTAAGCAAAACACTCGCTCATCAACAATAAAACCTCGCAGCGATAGTGTTCGGTTTGTTCCGCTTTCATTCGTGCAGTTTCGTAGGCGATTCGTATACACGTGATACGTATGCCAAATAAATACATATGCATACAATTATTAACGAGATCGTTAAGGTTAATGTCTTTTCGTAATTTTCAAATTATCCATCGTATTGATTAAAATAATGATTTTTATACTATCTTTTGTCTTCTTATGATACAATGAAAGTCTGCGATTTTATAAGAATATACTGTAAATATTACGCGTAAGTATAATAAAAAATTTATATTACATCAAAGACAGTATATAAATATGGTAATAACAAATTTGTTTCAGTACTTATTATTTACTTTAAAAAAATAGTTCATTTTTATTTCTTATAAATACTAATTTGTTTCAATTACAGATGCTAATGTTCTAGCATTATAATAGTTCAAATTTATTATGGCAATCCAAAGATTGTACTACAAACGTATGGGTGAAAATAGTAAAAGAATAAAATTTATCGAATGTAATATTTTTACGTTTATCAATTTAACGCGAAATTATTTGATGAATAGAATTACAGCCGTTAAATAAAATTTATAATAGAGTTATCACAAAATACAATTATTAAAGTTTCTTCTAACATTAAATAAATGAAAAGTTAATAACATAATTTGCTCTACTTGATTGGTTTCCCTGAGATGTGACTTTATCTAGCGTTTACGAATATTTCGATATAACAGACCAGTCATTTCAGTGATCACTCGAAATAACAAAGTTTACAAGTGAAATACTCGTAAATACAATTGTAAAGTAGTGAAAAAACAAACTGCTTTGTTATTGTTAAACGTTATTCACAGACACAATAATGGATGTAATTATATATATATATATAAAATATAAATTAAAAATAATTAATCATAAAATATTAATTATTCTCTTTTTCCATACTTAATTTGGTGTGACAAATGTCTGAACAGTTTCAAGTTGTATATTACATGTTTATTTATATCAGTAATAAATATCTCACCGTATAACCATGGATGAGTCTGCTTGACTGTGACGTTATCCTGGGAGCGTTTCATTGGTTTCGTTGATATTTTTGAATGAAGATTCGACTTCGCCATCGTCACTTTACAAACTTGTTAACTGTTTTTGTTCAATCTCGACACCAAACGATTTTGGATTTCAGTTACATGGGCGCCATGTCAGACGGGCGCTGGTTAGGTAGTTTCGTACGTCGGTCGATAGACGACAACTTAGGGCACGCGCGTCCATATATCGGGTGTCTTTAAAAAAATGTCCGCTATTATCTGCGCAGCAGTATGACTCTTTTCCCAGATAATGTTTGTTACATTTTTATATTTATTTAAATATTTAAATATTTATTAGATTTTCAAATACAAGGAAAGAGTAAAGGAGGAAATTGCATTGTTCAAGGCAACGTCATTTATAATGATGTATTGCCGACAAATCGCAAATTCTGTAACTGAAATAAAAAGGAATCACTTTAAATTTGAATTGTAATCGCGAGGTGCTTTTCTTCCTACTGGATCTTTCCAAGCAAGATTATAAATACATTTGCGGAGTACTATGAAAACTTCGAGGGGGTATTTTCATTTGGATTGACTGTTTTTAGACTTACTATGGGAATTTCTTTTGTAAAATCTGGACACTACTTTTTGTTGACTTTTCGCACATGTATTTACTAACATTTAAACTATACTATACATTTTTTTAAAGCCAAAATACTTAAAAATTTGAGAGTCACACGGTATTAAAGAAAGTCACTTTTAAAGTTCATGTTTTGATTTTTGACATGATTCCGGCTGTGTAGTGAACGAAAACAGAAAAACGAGGTCTGATTGTATTCGGTATGAATGTGGTTATAGCCCCTACCAAAGGAATTAAAATATGCTATTGCTTAAAAAATGGCGGCAATTTAAAGTTCAAGTTACGGTATTTAAGGCTTTGCCTTTTACTTCTAGTATACTAAAAAATGATAAAAGATTCAAATTTTTTATTGGTTAAGGCGCCGACTATAGCAACAAGTCTGCTGAAGAACCTGTTCAAATTTCAAGTCAATTGGACTATTGAATCTTGAGACATCGTGTCAATCATGGTTTGAAAACATTTTCTCGAAAGAGAAAGATGCGTTTAAAAAGTTTTTGTATCGTTTACGTACGGAACAGATAGTGTTAGGGATTAGGAAACTATATATCGAATATTTCCAATTAATTAGCAAGTCCAGGGCCATGTAGGGACATAAAAAGAGACTTAAAAGGAAATTTCATAAACAAAGACACAGCAAGTGCCAAGTAAGGGAGAGAATATACCTGCTGCTACATATCGTGTTATACTGTAACAGTGCTCTTTAAATATCTGTCCCTTCATCATTTTTAAGAATTCGACATATCCTTTGCACAGATATTTTTGAGGATACACTTTAAGAAAATGCAAGCAAAAAAATCGATTTTTTTCAAATCCTAAATGAAAATACCCCCTTAACACGTTCGCTACCAACGTCACATATTTGTGACGGCCGTAATCCTATATTTTATATAATGAAAATGAAATTAATTTTATATATATATTGTTATTAGAAATTATAAACTACGACATCATATTTAGAAGCTCAAGGACTCGTTTCAGTTTCGTTTTTCTAATACTTTGTTTAGAAGATTTATTGGATCGAAGAAAATATTATAATTGAGGAAATAAGCGCTTCATCGAAATAAGCGCTGGTAGTGAATGTGTTAAAGAACCTTAAAATTCATATTGAAGTAAAATATTTGTACCACCGTATTTGCCCTTCTCCAATAATACTATACTTTCTTTTTATCGTTTTACGCGACTTGAACTCTTACTTCTACAGCTTTTCAATAGAAGAGGCTGTTATTATAACTGACATTGTTGTAATAATAGTCCTACCTATATCTCATATTCCAAAATCGCTGCAAACTGAAATTTGGGTGTTTGAAATTGAGGTGGACAATTGTTGTGATGGTCAGTACGTCTTATGTTTTTTTCTTTTGGGAAAACAAATCGCAATTATTCGCAAGAATATATGAACAGAATGTAACGTAATTTTAGTAAGTAAATACTATTTATCGCAGAATATTATTTATTGCAGATCCATGTCTATACATTATGCGATTTGCAAATAAATTGGAATTTGGTGATAAAACCCATGAAGTATCTATGACTGCCATACGAGTTGTTCAAAGAATGAAGAGGGATAGTATTCACAGCGGACGTAAACCATCCGGCCTGTGCGGAGCTGGTATAAAAAAATATTATTCAATCAACTGACTTCATTTTATCAAATAATTTTACTTCGTTTTATATAGATGGTAGCCAATGTTTATTTTCTTCTTCTTCTTCAGTTTCATTATAATTGTATGATTATTATTTCATTTTACTTGTAACATCTTAAATTCTATGGGCAATAACCAATTTCGAAATATATATTATATAAATATATCTATCGAAATTTTAGGCTGAAGAAAGATTAAATTTAAAAAATTTTTTTACTTCTGATATAGCTTTACTGATGGCCGCCCGTTTACACGAGTTCAACAGGTCTCCCGCGGATATCATAAAAATTGTAAAGGTACACGAAACCACACTACGAAAAAGGTGGGTCAGTGTCCAATATATATTCTTTTGGCAAGTTTACAACGTATTGTAATTTTGTATGGTTTCGATTCATTGTTAGGCTTATAGAATTTGGCGATACACCGTCAAGTGCATTAACCCTCGAGGAGTTTATGACGGTCGATTTGGAAGAGGAACAAGATCCACCAGCTTTCAAATCTGCGCGGAAAAAGGACAGAGAACGATTGCAGAGGGTATGAAAAAGATTTTTTAATATAAATGTAAGCAAACATATACAATGAATTATGTATATGATGTATAACTATGAATTTAACTTTTATAGTTAGAAAACATAGATACAGAAATAAATGAATTGCAAGCTGAAATTGATAAACAATTGGAGGAGCGTAAAGGTGGAAGATCTAGAAACCGAAAAAACGGTAATTAATATAAGTCATTATATTTAGTAGATAATACTTAATACAAAATAATTTTGTTTTAATTATAACATGGTAATTACTGTAAAGCAGCGATTTTCAAACTTGGAGGCAAGAATTACTGCAGAAGGTGGCGCGAAAAGTTTAAAAAAAATATAATTTTGCCATATTTCATTTTTTGTTTAGTTTGTCTCTATTGTTTTATGAAATAAAGGGGGGAGGTGCTAAGATTAGTTTTTTTTTAAAGGGGAGCGTAGTAACATAAATTTTGAAAACCTACCTGTAAAGATTATATTAAACTTTGGAACCATCTATATATTATATTTATTTAAAAATGCTGTGAATATGAAAATTTCAAATTTGTTACGCAGTATATCATCATTCTTATAAATTACTTTTTCATAAAATATTGTTAAATTATATAAAATATATTTTTATTTTCAGTCGAGTCTATAGAGAGGGAAGATACAGAACGATTTGTGCAAGAAAGCAATTTAAATGTAATTAAAGAGTATGTTGAAAATAACGTCGACGATCCTGAAAGCGATATTCGGGATTCTGAAATGAATAATGGCAATAATAATGTAATTACTGGTCTTGGTAAGGAATACAAATTTGTAATGAAATTGCAACTGTTACATCACAAAGTTTATAATCTTTAAAATTATTTGAAGGTCCAAATATTGCTTCCATAATATCGACAACTGATAGAGAAATGGAAGCAAGGGATCAAGGGAATGCAACATTTGAAACTGTGAGTACTATACTTTTCAACAATGATTTTTGTTGGAGAAGACAAATTAAGATTATTTTTTTATCAATCAAGATTTAACTTTTATGAAAAATGTTATGTACGTTTAAATTTTCGTTAAAATTTGTATGAATACTTTGCTTTTAATCTAGAATATTTTTACTGTAACTCTTTCCATTTAAATTTCTTCGGACGAATATGTGACTAAAAAAAAATGTTAAAAGTAATACTGCGAGAAGATTGTCTGTTTAGGCTTTATATATTTTTATAATCCCCAAACAATTGTTAATTTGTTCTGTAGTAATTAACGATCCCAAAACTTAAATTAATGGATCGATAAATAAATTATTGTTTAATTCAGTATGTGAATTTATCTGTAGTAGAAAATGGTTATTAATGTCTGAGAAATTTTTGTTCGAGCGGAAAGTAAAATATTTGCAGATTTTTTTGAGATGATCGTAAAATCAAATATATTTAAACGCTTGTCTTCTTTTCTATAACTGTTATTTTAGAAACTCTGTTTCATGTTTTTCATATCGATCAAGATGTTTTTTTGATAAATTAAACTAAGACACTTTGTACATAGACAATTTAACATCGAAAATTTAATTGGCCCAATCCACAGAAGATACTGCTGGTTATTAAATGAATAATCTGTAATAATTATTTTAATATTAAATTATTATTATTTATGAATATAGTGTTTTATAGTATATTGTTTTAGAATTCTGGTGAGATCGACATCACTGATTTGGATGATGAAGAATTAGATAGTTACATTATGTCAGAAAAGGAAGCGCAGTTTAAACATAATTTATGGAATAAAGTAAACTCTGAATATCTGGCTCAACAAAAAGAAAAGGAAGAAAGGCGACAGAAAGAAAAGGAAGAGGGTAAACAAGAAAAGAAAAGACGACGAACCACTAAACGTAATAAAAGTCAGACACCAGCAAATTCTGCAGGTAATAATATTCGTCAAATTAAAGAAATGGATTTTTAATCATCTACTATTCATTAAAACTATTTATCAAAACAAAATCTTTAATCGAAAAAGATATATAAAAAATCACATTAATAAAATAAAAAAAGGGTGATTCAATTAAATTTTAATTAATATTATTATGCTTTATAATATACAATAGTGATCATATATATCAAGTTGATACTGTTAACGCTTAATTGTCTCTATTTTGTTATCTATATTATTAATAATTATTTGTTTTAATAGGAGAAGCAATAGAAAAAATGTTACAAGAAAAGAAAATTTCATCCAAAATTAATTATGAAGTATTAAAAAGTTTAAATGTTACTATAAATACACCTAGTAAGGAGCTACAAAAAGCTGGTGAAGATGTTCCCCCTAAACAAGAAGTGGATAATCCTGCATCTTCTAGTAAAACGTTAGTATAATGTATCGAATAACGATGATTATATTTTAAAAATAATTTATTGTGCTACTTTTACTGGTTGTTCCATGTAATAAAAACTTTAGTAATTATTTGTATATTAATGCAGGTCTAGTCTTCTCAGTCCATTAAAATCGGAAGATAAACTAACTGTAACATCAACCAGAAGATCCCGTTTAGTTAAACCACAAGTACAAATAATGAAAAAAGAAGAAGCAAAAACAGTAACTGAAACGCATGATAAAGTTAGAATAGAATCTGCGGCTCTAAAAGCAGACACCTGTGATCTAGGTAATTCGTTAATTTTTTGTTTTTCTTTTTTAATTTAACTGGACAAAAATTATTTACTTTAATTTTTTCTACGTACATTTTTTCAATTTTATGTAACATTTTTGTATTAATAATATAAAGATAATAAAACTGTTTTAAAAATTAGATGAAACCGATGATTATATTGACGAAGATGCTGAAGCTGAAGTTGATGCTGATCCTACAGAAATGACAGTCGGACAAATGCTTGAACAGCATGGATCCGAAGAAGAAAATGATTATGGATATGGATACGATGAAGACGATTATTAGCTATTTATAATTTTATAAACTATTATTTATTGTGATTGTAACGATACTAGGTCTCAGTACAGTATAAGTACCTACTTTATTATGTCATGTATGTACTACATTTAATAAATATTACACTCTTTAATTTAACATTTTAGTTTTTATTTGCACTTGAACGGATCCTCAAAAAGTTTCACAAAATTTTATAAGTGAATTTTTATGTCATGCAGATATTAAGACATTTACATAAAAACGAAAACATTAGGAGAATTCTAAATATATTTATTAATTCTTCAACATTCAAATGCTAAATTATTTTGAACCATTGTAAAATTTCAAATATATAGGATGTTACAAAATAAAAACATAAGCCAATTGTAAAAATTGCTTTTGTTCGTCTGAGCAATAAAAAAAGTTCATACGAACATTATATATATGTAATATAATATAAAAAAATAAGTGTATAATATATATAAAGTATAAATACTCTCTATAGTGTAAACAACATAACATAAAGCAACCATATTCGGCGAGATAAACGCGTAATGAATGACAAGGCAACTTGATTAACACTAGAGCTACCAACCAGACAAACCGACTATTTATATTTTTCTTATACGAATTATAATTAAATTATACAAGTTACATCTCGTTATTTCAAATTTTGATAAAAATTTTGGTAACTTAGTACATGAAATTTTAATAAATGCATTGTTATAATTTTCTTATACGAGTTATAAGAATATATTTATTTATCGAAATTTTGATTCATTTACATTTTAGTTTACATATCACAAAACAATTTATTTCATAATTTCCCAGAAAGTCGTTTATATCTTGACAATAATTCTAAAAGAAGAAGTCCTAAATTGGTCGTTTCGACCCATCTATTAACTTTCTACTGCAAGAATTTTTATTTATTTAAAACAATATTTGGCTGTCATTTTATTTAAAGCGAGTAATCTGAATTTGAACATTTGAAATTAAGTTCCCGATTGTAAACGGAATGCATTATGTGAAATTTTCGTGAATTCCACAGGCGTTCAACGATCTGAAACATCATTAAACTTGCTCGAGTTTCACTTACTAAAAGACGAGCCGCCGATTGTTGGTTGATCGGAAAAATCAACGAACTGTAAAGAATCGATCTGATCCCACGTCTCTTTGTCCGCGGTCATGTGATGAACAAACTTTTCATCATCGATTTTCAAATTTTCGCCTTACCAGAGTTCCTGCGAAGGCGGTTTTAAGCAATTCCTCAAGTAGGATAGATCGAGGCGAATGAGATCACGGAACGATACAGATAAAAATAATAATATTGGCCACATTTGTTACGTTGTTATAGAAATCAGCATGCTGACCGTTCATATTACTTCATACACCTTCCCTTCGCTTAATCCAATACATCTTCAATTGTTTCAAACCGTTGTTTGCCACCAGCGAACGTGTGCGAACGCAACGAATTTGTAGCTAATCTAAAATGCATTATTCGGAATTTCACATTTAAAATGGCAAGCTAAGCTTGGAAATTCAAAGGTGTTGATTATTATTAGTCTCTAAGGTGTTTCAATGTAGTATTTAATGTACTTTAGATTATTATATTGTATTTGGTTCATTTATCGTATTCACTCTGAAAATAATTTTTAAATTTATTGTTAACGGTACTTTAAATTTGTAGCTTATAGAAACGTAAATAGATAACTCTATATTAATCAGGTTTTTATTGACATAATGTATGAAAGAACATTTCTATGGATATACAAGTCCACAATAAAGCGTATACTGTTGCGCCGTTTCGCAAGTCGTTGAAATAGATCTTTCGACATGATTGATGTTTGTCACAATTGGAGATTGCAATTCGTTCACTGTGTGATCAGTCTCGTCCGTGGGAGAAATTCTTTTAAGAAGCTGAACATCTTAACAACGACATGACGGTCTGTCGCGTTGCACCGTAGTGCATAGAACGTGCAGGGAAAATCTCGCAGCGAAGGATGAAAAACGTTTCAGCAAGAACTTCTCAGATTGCGGTTGATTGTAGCGAAAAGGGCAGTGGAATCATTGAACGAAAGTCAACATGCGGCCCCGCATTGCATCACAGTGGAGATCACTGTTTTGGGATTGAGGCCGAATTATTAAATTCGTGTTTTACTGACGAACAGTGCGACGAACTCTCCAACATGGAGCTGTACATTGTTTGCAAAAGCGAGAATACGGATGTTAGACCGCGGGTCCTGGATGCTCCCTTATTGCCAAACAGAATCCCTATCCCCATAGCTTTGAACGTAATCTTAATTAGCAGAATATCTGGAGGAGTGCAGATCCTGCTTTGCGAGAAATCCAGGACGAAACCAATCAATGTGACTACGGTGGCTTCGCCAACTGTCGAAGAGGACATCGAAGTACATATTTTATGGAGTATCGACAGATCGAGGAAATATTTTGTACAATGGATCCGCAGAGTGTCTTATGCTGCTTAGTACAATCTGAATAGTGAAATAAAATTGTTTCTTAAGAACTTTTAGTTCTAATGAATATAAACGATCGAAAATCGCATTCCTTTGGAGTGATTATCTCGAAGATAAATAGGTGTAAAACTAGGAGAATTCATCAAGGGACCGAATTCATGTATTTTCTAATTTTATCCTGCTAATCGTTAAATGGCGTAATGTAATTTCAGATGAATTGTGTATTTGTACGGCGAGTAGCATTCGGTTGGTTCTTAAGTACTTACATACCTCGATTCGCGGTCAATTACTGAAGAGAATGTTCGAATGTGTAATTTTCTATCTATATAGAACTCATTTTGTAATTAAATCCTGTAAAATTTGATCTTGGGACTTGTTCATGTTTTGTATGTGATTAAATGTTTGGCAAATAAGAATATAACGCATTCAAGTTATAATTGATTGGATTCAAGATTTCATTCCTATTCTTTACCTGCATTTATTATAACAAATTTACTATAACGTGTACATTATTGGTTATTTGTTAATAGATCTTAGTGAAAACTATTAATCAAGCCAGCCTTCATGATTCCAGGACACAGTCGGTAAAATCACCTTTCTACATACCCATGCACCCTCTGTTATTCATATATTGTTCGTTACAGTTGTTTAGAAGCGCAGATGTACATATAACAAGCAGTAAACAAACAAGAATCGGTAAAAAAGGAATGTAACAGCAATGACTTAAGATTGTAGTGTCCTTGTGGTAGACAACAGTTAACCAAGGAACTAATCACTAAGATACATAGTATAATAAGCCAAGAAAAATGTGCGCATAAATTATTATATTTAACCATTCCTATGATTGAAAAACATAATTTTTGTTCTAGACGTATAGTATTGAGTGCAGTATATTACTCTAGACTTCGACTTTGTATCTTACTTCGACTCTGTTTAACTGATATTCAATTATGTCTGACATTCGATCACAATCAGTGACTCTTTTTATATTCGTGGCAATAGAGGCAAGAAACATTCTTTACTGGCAACAAATTTATAGGAATCTGTTATTAATAATATTATTTTCATCGTTTCCACTGTTGTCTACTTAATGTTTCTGTAAAATCAGTTTCTAGATCGCAAATTCATTGAAATTGAAGCACTCACGCGTTTGTATCGAGCCGCATCCTGTGCATTCATTGCTTTTGTAGGTGGACGATCTTTACAATAAGTCGTATAATATATTTGTTTCTAAAATGTATTAACTGCTAACTAAATAAACTGCATACAATACTAAATTTTGTCATATGAGTGTTGTGTTCAATAGATAGGTTCTAAAATGAGGTGTCAAATTTCATCGTCTGTTAGGTGTAAGTAGATCTTCATGTTCCCGCTTGTTTTGCTTCCCGTTTCCGTAAACAATTTCGATCGTTTATTTGATTTAAAACAGATATCTATGTAAACTTAAACGACCTACAGTATGATTTCTGAAAACTTGTTATTGTCTGAATACCATTCAATGGCTAGGGTAAGGAATTCGATCTTCAAATTAGTACTGGATACTTTAATAAATAGTTATATAGTGTTACGTATCCTCTGGTGAACCATTTGGTGTATACGATGACTAGTTTAATCTCTAACAATTGTCAAGTGTTTTTCAATTGTTACAAGAAATGATGGACACACTCCCACTATGACACCCATAAGGAACTATTTTGCGTATTGTTTTCAGCCAATCACGATTTTCGATTTATATTAAACGGTTAAGAAACAGCTTTCATATTTTAGTAGCCGTTGGAATTTCATAGTGATTACGTCGTTAGTCCGCAAGTAAACAATTCCCTTTTCTAAAAGTTTCAAATGTGTTTCATAAACGAATAATCATAGAATCGATAATTTAAGTACTTCTAAAACAAAGGACTGTAACTTCTGGCGACATGAAGGCATTTTTCAGGAAAATGTAAGTTTAAATTTCGATTTTATCAGGGTTTGATTTTTTTCTCTCGAATATTTCATATTCTTTCATTGACATTTTCTAAGATTGCTGTTTATGATTAATATTTTTTAGTTATTTAACGTTGAGACAGAATAATTGAGAATGTAAGTAATACGATTTTTATTTGATTCATTTACATAAGAAAGATATATCGAAAAGAATTGCTTAATTGTCCAACATTTTCAAGCAATTACGTTCGTTCATTTTTTAGTTGATTTAATTAGTGTTCGTGTAATTCAAACATATGAAAAACGTTAAATCAACGAAAGAAAAATATCTCGAGATGCTTATTGTCACGAATTTCAAATCGAACTTATTACGTGACGAACGGAAAGTAAATCAGAAATTTTTATGTATTCTTATATTTTCGACCAATCACATGTAAGCTGTAACAATCAAATTTTTTAAGTTGATTTATTAGTATTTTTGTCACTTCACCATATGAAAAAAGTAAAATTAACACGTAAAGAACATGGTGAGCCTTTTATTATCACAAATTTGCTATTAATTTATGAGAAAAATGACTTAAAAATTTTATATCTTATTGTTTCAACTTTTTACATTATTTCGTTCTATTTTCGATAAGATAACATTCTTTATGCACATTTATTGATAATATTGATACTCACTTATTTAAATTTATGCATTTTTCTGCTTTTCTGTATTAATTGATGATATATTATTTTTTTTATTATTACTATTAACAGAAGGGATTTTATTAAAAATGATTAATCGCACTTGTTATACGCACAAAATAAAAGATTCATTATATGGTGTATATAAATAATTTTTCATAAAATATTGAGTTTAATAAATAAAGTTCATTTGAATGTATTTCACAGAATTAATTCATTAACTTCAATCAATCATTTTTATATTCTTCCATTGATGAATATAGATTACTTTATTTTAATTAACAATGGTTAGGTAATGTATATTACATAGAGTATTCGGAGACTACCTAACTTTTGGTTTTATATTTCATAAAGATATTCACTCCAACGAAGTATTAATTCAAATCTGCGCGCCGTACACAATTATGTGTTTTCCTCATAGTAGGAATGAAGTATATAGCTAATTTAATTTCTACTAATAAGGCTAAATTTGCAAATTATCGGTAATATCGAGTACGACACCAAAAAGGTACAGAAGTTCCCCAAGATTTAGGCAAAAATTACTATATACATGCAAGATTTTTTCAGATCTGGAGTGAATCATGTAAGTGTGATTGTAATTCAAAAGAGCTTTTTACATTTGATATTATTTATATTCGATTTCGATTTAGACTGAACATAATTCCAAAACTTGCTACACTGAATTATAAAGTACATAACGAAACATATTTTTTACACAATCGGCATTTCAGATCATCGAACACAAAGTTTTATAAGATGTCGACTCTATTCTGTCCCTCGTCTGTGTTCGCACTCATTATCATCGTTGATACGAATACCACTTCAATATATAGTTTTCTCACCGCCACTGTGTAGACACAGGCGAAGTATACCTTAAAGACATAGAGCAGAGGACGCTATAATCAATTTTGAATTTCTAGATCGGTAAAGCAGTCAATTTAGACACCGAAGGTCGATGTTTGATTCATTCTTACACTTTTTCTGTACTTTTATACGATAAAGAAAAATTTATATTATCAATAAGAGTATGTTCGAAATATATTTAAAGTATTTCCTTATTGCCGCTATACGTTGTTCATATAGATGGCATTAGTTATGTACTTTTGGAGGGATAATGCGATCCAATATGGCGGCGATTGGTGTTGTGCGTTCGTGAATGTCAGGGTGAAAACCGGTGCATAATACACGAATAATTGTGGTTAAAATCACGGATATACGTGATCATTAGATCGGTAGGAATATTACTGGCACTAATAGCAGATAGCTCTAAAATAGAGCAAAATGTCGAAAACAGACGAAAATGCGGACACTGGAGATACAGGAGATAATTCAAATGGTTCATCGGCGGAGACCACGTCGTCCCGTGGTGGTGACTTTGAAACGAAGCTTGAAACTGATCGAAGTAAACGATTCGATTATTTACTGAAACAAACTGAGATATTCTCCCATTTTATGACAAACAATCAGAAGGACAAAGCTGGAAGTCCTTTAAAAATCAAGGCTGGCAGACCCAGGAAGCAACCAGAAATTCAAGTGAAAACTGATTCTGGTGATCACAGGCATCGTAAAACAGAACAAGAAGAAGATGAGGAATTATTAGCCGAAAGTAATGCCAATGTAGCACCTACCACACGCTTTGAATCTTCACCACATTACATCAAATCTGGTGAGTTACGAGACTATCAAATACGTGGTTTAAATTGGATGATATCTTTGTATGAACATGGTATCAATGGTATTTTGGCGGACGAGATGGGTCTTGGTAAAACTTTACAGACTATTTCGCTACTTGGATATATGAAACACTTCAGAAACATTCCTGGGCCTCACATAGTTATCGTTCCAAAGTCTACTCTAGCTAATTGGATGAATGAGTTCAAAAAATGGTGTCCTACATTAAGAGCAGTGTGCCTCATAGGAGATGCGGAAACTAGAAACACTTTTATTAGAGATGTTATGATGCCTGGGGAATGGGACGTTTGTGTGACATCCTATGAAATGGTAATAAAGGAGAAGTCAGTATTTAAGAAGTTTAATTGGCGTTACATGGTAATCGATGAAGCGCATAGAATAAAGAATGAGAAATCAAAGTTGTCAGAGATTCTGAGAGAATTTAAAACAGCCAATCGCCTTCTGTTAACTGGAACACCCCTACAGAATAATCTTCATGAATTGTGGTCATTGCTCAATTTTCTATTACCAGATGTATTTAATAGCTCAGACGACTTTGACTCTTGGTTTAATACTAATAGTTTCTTAGGTGATAATTCATTAGTTGAGAGACTACATGCTGTTCTTCGACCATTCCTCTTAAGACGCTTAAAATCTGAAGTAGAAAAAGGACTAAAACCAAAAAAAGAGATCAAGGTGTACATTGGTCTTAGTAAAATGCAAAGAGAGTGGTACACAAAAGTGCTAATGAAAGACATAGACATTGTAAATGGAGCTGGAAAGATAGAGAAAATGCGATTGCAGAACATTTTGATGCAATTGCGTAAATGTTGCAATCATCCATATTTGTTTGATGGTGCAGAACCTGGGCCTCCTTATACCACTGATGAGCATCTTGTTTACAATTGCGGTAAAATGGTAATCTTGGACAAGTTGCTACCAAAATTGCAGCAACAGGAATCGCGAGTTCTCATATTTAGTCAAATGACAAGAATGTTGGACATTTTAGAAGATTACTGCCATTGGAGGTGTTTTCAATATTGTCGTTTAGACGGTAACACAGCACACGAGGACAGACAGCGTCAGATCAATGAATACAATGCACCTGGAAGTGAAAAATTCATTTTCATGCTGTCAACTCGTGCTGGTGGTTTAGGTATTAATTTAGCAACGGCAGATGTAGTTATTATTTATGATTCTGATTGGAATCCACAGATGGATTTACAGGCGATGGACCGAGCTCATCGTATAGGTCAACAGAAGCAAGTCCGTGTATTCAGGTTTATCACAGAAAATACTGTAGAAGAAAAGATTGTCGAGCGTGCGGAAGTTAAGCTGCGGTTAGATAAATTAGTTATACAACAGGGACGATTAGTCGACGCCAAACAAACAGCATTGAATAAAGATGAAATGTTGAACATGATCAGGCATGGTGCAAACGAAGTGTTTGCGTCTAAAGACAGTGCCATTACGGACGAAGATATCGACACTATTTTACAGAAGGGTGAAGCAAAGACGGAAGAAATGAAACAGAAGCTGGAAAGCTTGGGTGAATCTTCACTTCGTAATTTCACGGTAGACGCACCGACAGATTCAGTGTACCAGTTCGAGGGCGAGGATTATCGAGAAAAGCAAAAGATTCTTGGGCTCGGTAACTGGATAGAACCGCCCAAGCGAGAACGTAAAGCCAATTATGCGGTTGACGCTTATTTCAGGGAAGCTCTCAGGGTATCGGAACCAAAAGCTCCGAAAGCTCCCAGGCCCCCAAAACAACCCATCGTTCAAGACTTTCAATTCTTTCCTCCGCGGTTATTCGAGTTACTCGACCAAGAAATTTATTACTTCCGTCAAACCGTAGGCTATAAAGTTCCAAAGAATCCTGAATTGGGATCCGACGCTGCCAGAATTCAAAAAGAAGAGCAACGCAAGATAGACGAGGCGCAACCATTGACCGACGAAGAAGTCGTCGAGAAAGAGAAACTGCTCACGCAAGGCTTCACGAATTGGACCAAAAGGGACTTTAATCAGTTCATAAAAGCGAACGAGAAATACGGCCGTGACGATATTGAGAACATCGCCAAGGAAGTGGAAGGAAAAACGCCGGAAGAAGTTATGGAGTACTCGGCAGTATTCTGGGAACGCTGTCACGAGTTACAGGACATCGATAGAGTTATGGCTCAAATCGAGCGTGGCGAAGCGAAGATACAAAGACGAGCCGGTATTAAAAAGGCCCTCGACGCAAAGATGGCGAGATACCGGGCTCCGTTCCATCAATTGAGGATAGCATATGGCACCAACAAGGGGAAGAACTATACCGAAGAAGAAGATCGGTTTCTTGTTTGTATGTTACACAAGCTGGGCTTTGACAAGGAGAACGTGTACGAAGAGCTTCGAGCCACGGTCAGGTCGGCGCCTCAATTTCGTTTCGATTGGTTCGTCAAATCTCGTACAGCCCTAGAATTGCAACGACGTTGCAATACGCTGATCACTTTAATAGAACGCGAGAATCAAGAGCTCGAAGAACGGGAGAGGCAAGAGAGGCGAAAGAAGGGCGGCAGCATAGGCGCGAAACCGGCTTCGAAACGAAAACAAGAGAATCTTCCGGCGCCTCAGGACAAACCACGAAAAAAGAAGAAATAAGGACTAAATTGCGAATCATTCTGACTGATCTTTCAGAGAGCACGGACTTGATTGCAACAGGAACTCTCTCTTTCTCTCTCTCTCTCTCTCTCTCACACACTCTCTTTCAAGTACTTTCCCATTGGTCATTCTTCTTCCAATTGTTAATGGTATACATCATTGAATGAGTTGAAGTGAACAGTATTCGTCGCAACTTCGCTCCTTGCCTCATTCCCATCGAATTTTGTTTTCTCAGTATAGTTACGTTCCACACGATTATTCTTCTCGCTTTCTTTTAACGATAATCACAGCAAGGTTTCGCGAAACACGAGTTAATATTGAACAGAGGAAAAGCTTATTTATTAACACGAACGAGTACAACGGAATGACAGTAACTTTGCAAAGGCTTGTAGGTATAATGTTGAATGATGTTATTTTATATTCGTCGGGTGACCGGTTTCGCTTTGTAAACGAATGTACTTTAAGAATCATCTCAAAACTATGAATTGATAGTGAAAGACTGAAGAACGCTTGATAACTTTGTACAGGTCTTTTTTTGTCACAGCAAGATTAATAAATCTGAACTGGAATTTAACGTGTATTAGTTTTAGCATGATTCATATTTTCTACTGTATTTTCCCCCAATTTCGTGCAATCTTTTAAGTACATTTGCTGATCTAAAAGGGCCACCCAGTATACGTTTACGTCGAAGTAACGCCTTTTGGAACTGATAAACCAAAGTGCGATACTCTTTGATATACTTAATCATCACGGAAATATTATGCTCGCTCGTCATACGTATGTACCGCGCACAGATACCACATGAACGTACCTTGATTCAATTTTACACGCGAATACTTGTAATGCAATATTACGTCAACGGTTTTATTTATTTCTTACAATTTTTAAGGCATTGTAATTCGTTTTACGAATAAAACACCATATGCCTCATCACATATACTATTTTGTTAGTATATTGGATTATAATTAACATAAAATCAACTAGTCGTTTAAAATCACTGGAAAAATATATTTAATATTTTTTCAGTGAATTTTGTTTTTTATTTTTCAATGTAGTTGTACGTTTTCTTCTTAAATTTAAAGAACAATTAATTGATTTTGTGTTAGTTATGAATTATTACCCCCGTATGGAATTAAAAAGAAATAAAGGAAAAAATTCCAGAAGAGTAATTAGTTTCATGATATTGATAAGTCTGCACTTTTTTTGTATAGTTATATTTATTGAATTTTCGAATCCTTAGCAACGAGCAAGGAAAAAATATAAATCGGGATAATTGTTTCGGAATCAAGTTTTCACGCATAATTATTAATAATAATTATACATATATTATATTAAATATATAAATAGCGAATGTATTACTCGCTCGTAACAAATGAAAAACCGTTCGATCAAATTAAATCGAGAATGAATAGCTTTTGACTGACAATAGTATTCGTGGTATTCGCAATTTTTATAAGTCGCAGAGTCATGCACAAACAATAAATATTCGTTATTACATTGGTCATACATTTTCCAGGAGACTTCATCCATTTTCTACAAAATCTTAAAAACAAAAAAAGAAAAATTTCATACACATTGACACACAAGTCATAATAACTGTCCACCTCGTTTCAATTACTCATAATTAGACATGATGCTTATGCAAACAAAATTATAAAATTGTAATTTGAGCATAAATTTGTTTCATCTTAAACAGATTTTAATGAAACATATTTTTATTCTGTATACTTTGCAAATAACATGTTTTTTATACATGCGTATGTTTTGTATACTTACTCATACAAATACACTGTGACTATTTGTATTTAACTTGTAGATTTCTGCATATGTTTTATATGTTTTATACATTTTATATAAAAATGTATAACCTTCCCTTTAATTCACTGCAAGTATGGATTATTTTAGGTCTCAATAAATTAAAAATATATGAAATTCATGATGGTATGTAAAATATACAAAATACTTAGAAATTTGCGAAATAAACCAACATATGCGGAATATTAGAATATCCAAAATATATTGGAATATGCAGGATAACATGAAAATATGCGAAATATGCTTCGTAATATACAAAGTACATTGGAACGTACATTGTTTAATACATATTTCGTATATTCAGTAACGCCTTGTATTCTGTATATATCTTATTTTTTGCTCATTTAAATAGTTTATGCACGTTTTATATACTCTGTAGGTTTATTTTTATTTTATTGTATCCTACGTATGTATGTATATTTTCTATTCATTCTCCACTTACGAAATGAATGTTGTATATATTTCGATCAATTTTATGTATGCTTGAATATATATGTATATATTTATTTTTAACTTTCAATATATAAAAGTTATTAATCAATTGTCATGTGAATAGTTTCTGTATTATATTCACACCGTTTCCGCCTTTAAAATTAAGAACTAACAACAAATGATGGAAGGAGTGTGAATATATCCAGAAATGTAGTTGTATTTTTCATGTAAGTTCATATGTTCTTATATATTATACGTGCATAAACACCCCTAATATAGGTACTTATACATTTGAGCTGTAGAGTGTAGTGGACAAGTATTATGACCATCAGTGTACATTATATCCTAAATCGCACGAAACATAACCCTAAGTTAATATCATTCTCATTACGACCTTTATTCTTGATCTCTTTATAATGTAGTACTTGGTTACTATTCACAGAAATAAGGTTTCGTCACTTATATATAAAAATAATACAGAGTAAAATATAAATTTGTATGAATGCAAAAGTTACCGTGGCAAATTTTACTTACAATAGTGCTATTCTCAAAAAAGACGGCGAAAACAAAATTAATTTATTTCTTCTTCGTTCATACACTTTAGTTTCTTAATTAGTAATCATAACACTCATTTTTTCTCAATTAAAATAGCAAACGTTTTAAATTGTTCTCCTGCATAATAATTGTTTTGTAATACTTAAAATGTTATATTCATTGCAATTTTTAAAGTAAATAACTAAAAATGAACGTGATTATGAAGCATCATTTCTTGCTTTTGCATACATTAAAGCAGAGGCATTGCAATATGCTTCAATGAATTTGAACAAAAATATCTTTGATCTTATTATATTAATGTCTTGAAAAATAGATTCTGAGCGAATCAATAAAAGTAAAATAGAACTATTTATGTAATTTTTTTAATCACTTTGTAAGGCTCTGAAGTTCATTAATATCACCACAGGATATAATATTCTAATTATACATTTTGTATTTCATATTATCAATGTTACCTAGAATAATATTGCTCTCTATTAGCAGTAAAATTTTGTAAAATTGATTGATGTGAAACAATTTGCACTGGAAATGAATAATATGTACAAGAAAAATTCAATAAACAGTATATTTTCCACTATTTGCATAGAATCTTTTAACATTTGTATTCAAAACTTGTTTT